GAGAACCAAGGCTCCCCGAAGGTCGTCTCGAAAGAGATCGACGGTACCTGTCCTCGAGAATGTCCCGAATGAACAATTGCCCCTTCGAGTCGGCCGCAGCAAACCCTCCTTCCTCGATTCCCCCCTTTCGACCGCGTTTCACGGTAGAAGGGTTGATGCGCTGGCAGGTTTTCGCGGTCGAACCTGTCGCATTACGAGACAGACCCATTAGAAACCTATTAGGGACGGGTTACGGGCCGTGTATTCCCGTAATTATGGAACGATTACGCGAAAATTCTTTCTCGCGCTAACGAGTCGATCGATTTATACGAAGCCAAGTTTCTTCGCCTCGTAAAGTTTTCGAGCTTCTTTCTTCCACCGTTCATTTTAATAAATCGAACGACAACTCTCTTCAGTGGTACCTACGGTGCGTTAAACGGTTCGTCTACTCATTGAGAGTAATAGGAATGTTGACGATACGTCTACGGTGGCCGGTCACACCTGCATCGTTTATCGTCCACTCTTGTCCGCTCCGCTCGCTCTGTCCGCTCTTGCCACTCGCCTCGAGCCCAAATCACAAGTGCATTCCTCGAATTCATTCAGACGCTCGGAAACCTGTCCCCCGATCACGAATGGGGCCTCGATCCTCGGTTCCAGCCGTTTATAATTCACAGCCGAGGGTTCGTCGACCCTGCAAATAATAGCCCAGGTTCCTCCGCAGTCTATTGCAACAGTATTCCCATCCCGAAGGCGCGCGAACTCGTTCGCCGGTGTCGAGATTTTCTTAGCGCACTTTTTCTACCGCGTAAGTAATGCGCACGGTTTCTTTTCGCGATGCGGTTGCTCGGTCGAATCTGTAGCTGAGAAAACGTCGAGAGATCGTCGACGATGGTCTATTACGCGATCAACGTAATGGCGAAGGTTCCTGCCGGCTTCGCGTCCGAAACGAATGGAAAGGAAAAACCTGGAGGGGAAAAAGGATCCGTGGGAGTGGTCGGGACCGTAAGTAGGTCGACCGACGCCGAGGCTGGTTCGCGTTCGATCGAACAGCCAGCCGAGAACCCCAAGAGAGGCGAATGGCTGATCGTTGGGTAGCTTCTCCCTCCGTCTCCGTCCTCGTCTTCGTCACCGATCTCGATGTTCGACCAACCGGCTTCGCGAGTCGATGAACCGTAAACGGATAAAACCGAAAACTCGCTATCGAGATCGGGGGACGCTTCGAAGATCGGAAACGGCCCGATCTCGGATACGCGTCGACGGGGGACCAAGATGGCCGCCGCTGGCTACCACCGAGCCGTTCGACTCGGAGCTTTTCCGAAGCGGTACCGTCCGCGGAAAGACGCTCGCGAACGCTACGTCACGGTAGTCGTCACGATTCTCCGTTCAGCCCGTTACTTTTTAATGTCGAACCCCGTTCGGACGATCGTTGTTCGTATTCTCGCTCGCCTTGGACCATATCTCCGCGGCGATCGAGTTCGCGGGGCCCCGATTCCAAATGGCACCGTCCACCGAGCGCGCACCAACTTGCACCTTATTATTGCGATCTCTTTGTCTCGTCTCGTCTCGTGGCCCAGTGATTCCGTCGAGCGAGAGAGAGAGAGAAAGAGAGAGAGAGGGAGAGAGAGAGAGAGAGAAGAGAGGGAGTCGGGATTTATGGGACGGGATCGAGCGAGTGCGATAGAAATCGAACGGCGAGACTCGGGCTCCGCTGCACAAGCTGCACTTGGCCGTGAGCGCGCAATGCCACGCCATACCATAGCACAGCACAGCATAGCACAGCATAGCACAGCATAGCATAGCGTGGCATAGCATAGCACACCACGACAGAGTACAGCCCCGCGTCGCGCGGCAATTGCAATTTCGTTCTCCCGGGCCCTCGCATTCCTCCGTTCTCGTGATTCCATCCTCGCCGAACGCTACCAACACCTACGGTTATCTTCGAATCTCCTGCTCGTTAGTCGAAACGGAGGTCTCTCCGCGTTCCTTGACTCTTACTCCCCCTCGGACTTCTCGAAAAGATGCTTTAAAGATACTCGAGGAAATCCTGTGCGGACGCGCAAGAGAAAGGAAACCTTATCCGACGTTTCCTTCGATGCACCAATTAACACCTTGGGGTCGAAGCGGCCCCGCGGGTACCGTAGTCGGCAAATTGCTCTTTTTTCCTTTATTCTCGACTCCATCTATATGTCATACGCAAAGAAACGAGAACCATTCGCCTCGCGGGTTCTTCGTCGACGCCGCACAGGCACCGTGATCCTAGAGTTGCGTAATCGGGCGATCGATTTAAAGCAGAGAGCATCGAAGAAAGGGGAGACCGACCGGTACACCTCCGTGATTATTCCCGTTCTCGAAAATCTGTGGGCGCATCGGAGGTTCCCGGGGTTCCTGATCCCCGGCCGACGATAACGCGGGCCCGAGGTGGCGACCGGTTACAGTTGACCGGTTGAACGGTTGAACGGTTGAACGGCTCGAAACCTCGACTCTTATCCACGGACACGGACACGGACACGAGCACGAACACGAGAGCACGGACACGGACACAGGCGCGAGCCGGGGGGCTTGGAATGGCCGTGGTCTCGAGTCTCGAAGCTCGAATCTCGGCGGGGAGCTGGGAGCCGAGAGCTCGTTCCTGCCGACTCGACTCGAAGTACCGGTTCTTGCTTCTTTTTCTCGCAGTCTTCCTTTCTTCCTCCGCGCCGCACACCGGGACAGAACCGACGCCGATCGAAAATCGATTTTCCTGATTTTTCCAATCCAAGGGATGCGACGATTTTTCCTCTCGAAGAAAGAAAGAGAGAGAGAGAGGGCACCGTTACGATTCGCGAAATCGAATCCAACGTAGAAATAGATGTTCCCTGGAATGAGTTTACTTGCAGGATGTCTTCGATGACTCGCCAGAGTATCGCGAACGATGGCAGAATGCTATATTTTCGATTGGATCCTTTTGTCTCACCGCGCGCTTGCAAAAACGAAAACGCTCGGGAACGGCGGAGCGGAGGGACACGAAGAGAGAAGGACGAGTGTCGAGGGACAGAGAGAGAAAGAGAGAGAGAGAGAGAGAGAGAGAGAGAGACTTAGTGCGACCGCGATCCGAGCAAAGAAAGACGAAGAGGGAGATCGGTACGCCGGTCACGAAGCTCCCGCCGGTATTTATAGCGCGGCCCCATGGTCGGACCTGTTCCAGGGATTTCAGAGGAGAATCTCACGTACCGGTCGATTCTTTTCTGGCCGAAGGTTGCTCAACCGCGTGGAACCGCCATTTTGGTTCCTCTCCTCCGCGCTGCTTACCTGGGTTACCTTAGCTCTTCGGCTTGGACGAGGTGACGCAATCGCTTGCGTAAACTGTAAACTGTAAACTGTAAACGCGGCGACGCGTTAGAAGCGTGCCGCTCTCTCGAAACTCGTGGCCACCGATCCCGAATCTGATCGCAGCCGGCGGAGCTCGTCTCCGGCTCGCTTCTTCAGGGTCGAGAGACTTTCGCGAGCTTCTCTAGCTGTAGCCGATCTTTCTCGATGCGAGCGCTCGCGAGGCGACACTCGAAGGCGTTGCACTTCGAATCGGATACGATGAATGCTCGAACAACGCGCCTCAAAAGTCTCGTCCACCGTTCGAACGAGAAGAGGGAGACGCGGAGAAAGAGATGCGACGTGGAAAGGTGTGGGCAATGTGCGTGCACGTGCTCGCAAAAACGGCGCGCGGCGCGACTCGGCGTGTCCTCGCGCGGCCGGTTTCCTGATTTCCGCTCGAGCGGCTCGCCGCGTTCGCTTGTGTTCGCCGGTCGACACGGTGTCCTCGTGCTCCATTCGCGAACCACCCAGTCTGTGTCAAAGTCAAGAGAACGCCGCTCGGAGAAAATTGCACGCCTTCGGCCGGTTCAGCCGATCCGGCCGATTCGAGAGTACGGTGTAATTGCTCGTCCGACTGTCCTTGAGGGACGTTCTCCTCTCGTCTCGCCGCGCCGCGCCACACCGAACCGCACCGTGTTTTACCTTGTTCGTACCTGCGACTGCACGCGAATCACGGAGGCCCTTCTTCGCTCCTCGAAGGTCTCGTTTCCGGCGAAAACAGTTTCCTCTGAATCCGATCCACGGTTTTTCAATTTCACTCGTACGATAGAAACCGGCGGGATCTCCTAGCTCGACGATGTCCAGAGAATCCGAAGAATTTCGAAATTCTCGTATACTTGTAGAAACTGCTTCCTTCTCCGTTACTTCGAAACAATTCGAATTTACCGCCTCCGATTAACTTGTCGCGCCTCTCGCGGGAAGATCGAGAAGCTTTTTCGGGGGTCCGTACAGCGCCAATTCGTGCAGTGGCAAAACGCTCAAACTGTTAATCAAAATCGGCTGTCGGTAATTTGGGTAACGGTTTTGCCGTTGCACCGATCGGCGCTGTACGGACCCCTAAACAAGCTTCGCGCTGTCGTCGCGGGTGCATCGATGGCGGTAAATGTCAATTATTTTGAACCAAACGAACTTCGCCCGATTGTCTTCGCCCCTGCTTCGACGCGCGATAGGAAACGGAGACGGTAAAGCGAGGTAACGAAAGAGGTAGGGAGGATAAAAAAGGCGTATATAATCGTGCCGGTTCGAATTCGGGGAGATCGAATCGAGCGTCCTTGACCAGCCACGGAAGCAGCCGGTTTGTCGAGGTCGAGACCGAGCTTCGACTGTGGATATCTTCGGCGAACGGAGGACGAATTACGCGGCTAGGGCGAATTACACGGCTCAAGGTTGCTCGTAAATTCAGAATACCAGCGACTTGTCGCCGGTACGTGTATCCGTATCCATGCGCGTGCGTCCAGACAATCGGCTCCCGAATTCGACTTAGACCGTAGATCTTCGTTCTCGATACTTGGTGTTTTCAGCGAAATTACGAGAAGACTAGACACGTTTGAAATCTCGTGTCTCTCCGTCTTCTCCTTTTTTTTCATTTCAATTCCTTTGATCTCGTCATTTCAGCCGTGGAGTAAGAAGCACAAAGGATAAGGATTAAAACGTCTGATCTTTTGTGGACATAGATCGCGATAAAACGGAAGATGACCGAGCTACTACACCGGAATCCTTGCGGAGTACAAGTCCGGCCGTGTCGCCACCCCCGCAATGGCAGTCGAACAATACTAACAGCAGTAGCTGCGTAAGCGGAGCCGGTAACGGTAGCAGTAGTGGCAGCGGCAGCGGCTGTGGCAGCGGCAGTGGCAGCGGCAGCGGCAGTGGCAGCGGTATCACCCCGGCCCCGCAATCCAGTAACACACCCCCGCGCAGATTCATCTCGAGCATCCTCGGCGGAGATGTGCCCTATGGCAGCAGAGGTCACGTGCTAACCAGAGCGGAACGGAAAGAGTACAGCAGTCCGCCGATTGCTCCTTCGTCGAGCGATGCTACCCTCTTCATCGGAAAATCGGAGAAGCTGGTCTTGCCGCGGCCTATCACCCCTCCAAAGACGCCTCGAGTCGAACCTCCGACCAGAGTCTCCGTCATCCAGAGGGTCCCCCCACAGAGCCAGTCGACGTCCCGGAGGGAGGATAAGGTGGAGATAGCGCAGACGCAAGAACCGGAGCAGGTAATTTCGCGTTCGACATTCGCATTCTCGGCGATCTTGATGATACGAAAGGATCGGGATTAACCGATTTCTCATTATTCTCGACAGGACCAGCCAATCGATTACGCTGTGCCCAAGAGAAAAGAGGAGGACGAGGAGCGTGGTCGAGAAGGCGCGAAGGTGTCGCGCATGATCGGCAACTCGATCGCGAGACCTTTGCTGGCCATGAGATTGTCCGGTGGTCCACAGGTGGTACACGCAGCAGCCGGTCACGGGAGATCCGGGGGCAACGGTGGCTCTGGCTCTGGGTCCGGTGGCGGCGCAGCCGGCTCCGGGAATTCCACGTCCTCGAACTCGACCGGAAGCGGTGGCTACTGCGGCGGTGGCGGAGCTGTCACGGGTGGTAGTGGGGGCGGTGGGGCCGTGGGCGGAGGTGCCGGTGCCGGGGGCATGAATCCCGGCGGGAACGGCGGCAGAGGTAACTACGGACCCAGCTCGCCACCTACAGGATCGTTGCCGCCGTTCTACGAGTCCCTGAAAGGGGGCAACAATCTGGCCAACTTCGCCAACCAATACAACAGCACGCAAGGTAACCAACCATTTCTTTTCAAGCGAACTCTGACGAGAAGGATCTCGGCAGACTGTAACGTTCCGACGTCGGTTGTTTAGGTAACGGCTACCTGACGCCTTCGCCAACGGTGGGCATGGAGTGCGACACGGGCCAGCAGGACGTGAACTCGCAACATTCACAGTATAACGCGCAGGAGGGGAAGCAGTATTCCCTTCTGCAGAACGTCTGCGCCACCTACGGCCTAACGCTCAAAGAGGAAGAAGACCTGTCTCCCTACAAGATACAACCTAACGACATGTTGCCGGGACAATACAACACCTATGACATGACCGACGCGGGGATGATGGTGGACATGGTGACCGGCGCCGTGGTCGATCCCCTACAGTTCACCGCAACTCTTACGTTCAGCTCACCAACGGACCACACGGCGCTCTTGGAAAGCTTAAGCGATGCCGCCGATCTTTTCCTGCCGAGGCTACCGGCCGAGGACGGCGGCAACGATCTTCTCGAAGAATCGCTCCAGTCACCCGCCTCGGCCGGAAGCGGGATAGGCCAAGACGCTTCCGGGCAGATGAATGCGCCCGTCGAGCCCAGCGTCGACCCCTTCCCCGAGCACAGCATGGCTCTTTCGCGGGGTTTCGACACATCGAGGTAAGTGCAACGTCTGCCTTCGCGAGCCTCCAGACTTGCGATAGCGATTAGCGGTTTAACCCTTTTCCCTACAACCGCGTCTGAGAGACGCGGTCAGGCCGACCTTCGTTGACGCGTTTCTGGTACACGCTATTGAAACTTAAATCGTCGGACAAAGACGCGGAAAATGGGTTGCCCGAAAGGTGTTGCCATCGACTCGTTCGTCGTGTCTGCGTAATTGCGAATGCGAAATGTCTCTGTTCAGGCACTACACTGGAGCTCCTCATCATTTCAGCACCTCGAAATTAGGACTGAGCTACGGGAATGAGTCGAGTTATCAGACCGTGTCGAAGGAGCGTACCGAGCTCGGACTTCACATCAACCAGAATCACCAGCATCAGTCCGAGCCACAGCTGCAGCAACTCCAGATACAAGTACAGCTGCAGCAACAGCAACAGCAGCAACAACAGCAACAGCAACAGGGCACGGCTCCCTCGCCCCATCAGCAGCAACACCAAGGACTGTTAAGTCCGGGATTGAGCTTCGCAGGCAGTGGTTAGTGTTTCCATCGTTTTTTCCCTTGGCCGGATATCGGACCCGCGACAGGGCAAAGATCCCCGAGACTCGAGTATGCGTTTAAACGATCAACGATATTGATTTCAAGGTCTGGAACTAGATTCAGGTAGCAGCGTTGGCGGAAGTCTACCGAGTCCTGGAGCAGCTAGCTGTTCGTTGGACGCGGCATCGAGCAGCACGTCGCCATCCTGCGCATTGATGGAACACACGGCCAGCCCAGCTGGAACTGTGTCTGCGGCATCGGTCAACTCTGTGCAACAGCCCGGTCCGGTTGGAGAACCGCCGCTGACGCAACGGGTCGGTGTCCTACAGCAAAGGGTAAGCACCCGAAATTGATCCAGGCAAACGCATATCTTTTGATCTTCGACGGTCGCACGCCGCCGTCCTTCGTTCTCTATGACAATGCTTTCCGATCGTTTTCTTTCGCTCGGATACACTTGTAGACGCAGCATTGTCACACAGACGTTGAAAAATCTATAAATCGTAATGGTTAAATCGTCTAACTATGCAATGCCCAATCAAATTGAGTGCTTCATCCACAAGCAATATCGACGATCTACTCGCAGCCACGTGGCAAGGGGGGTCCAATGGTGTTCACGTTGATTTTTCCTGGTTTAGCTTGGCTTGCCGGGTGACTGTCAAATCGAGTTCGTCAACGGTGGCCATGGGATTAAAAATCCACTGGCGATCGAGGGTCAGAGACAGGCGGCGGCTAATCGCGACGAAGAGAGGGCAGCGCGACCTCCACCCGGCAAGGTAAACGTCATTCTGGAACGCCTTTCCTCGCCATACGTCTTTATTTTTATCGTCCCTCGAGGCGTGATCTTTCGCATTCTTTGATTTCGAACTTTTCGATTAGATTAGAATAGAATGTTCCGTTGACGCAACAGCTGCTCCGAGATTACGAATAATTGGTTCGTTTGGTGTTTCAGGACGACGATCCCAACCGCTTCACGTGTCGCGTATGTAGCAAAAACTTCAGCTTGCAACGGCTGCTTAACCGGCATATGAAATGTCACAGCGACGTAAAACGTTACCTGTGCACATTCTGTGGCAAAGGTTTCAACGACACCTTTGACCTCAAACGTCACACTCGAACGCACACAGGCGTTAGACCGTACAAATGCAATCTTTGCGAGAAAAGCTTCACGCAAAGATGCTCATTGGAGAGTCATTGCCTGAAAGTTCACGGCGTTCAGCACCAATACGCCTACAAAGAACGGCGCACAAAGGTACAAGTAACTTGGAGTTTCCTTCTGCTTATGCCTTTCTGTGTATATCGAGATATTGGTAGCTAATTCGTTCCTGTTTTGCATCGTCGCAGGTATACGTGTGCGAGGAGTGCGGTCATACGACGCAAGAGCCAGAAGTTCATTATCTGCACCTGAAGGATAAGCACCCGTACAGTCCGGCGTTGCTCAAGTTCTATGACAAGCGACACTTCAAATTCACCAACAGCAATTTCGCCAATATGCTGCTCCAGGTGCGCACGTAGACTCCATCTAGAGTAACGTTAATTCGGTGACAGCATCGATTTCGCAAACAAACGACGTCCGTCGGTTTTTCAGAAAGAAAAAGAAAGAGAGATAGAGTGAGAGGGGGAGGGGGGGAGGAGAAAATGAGAGACGCGGTCGTCGCGAGTTAGGGTAGGTCGGGGATGTAACTAGAGAGCAACACGGGGACCCCCACAACAAATAGCTGCTCGCGTCGAGAACGTTAGAGAGTAACGTGAGAAAAAGGGAGAGCGAAACGAGAGAAAAAAGGCAAAAGAAAGACCGAGAGATAAAGTCGAGACGACAACGAACAGAGAGATATGAGACCACGGAATTGTTCTTGGTCATGTAACTCTTCAGGGTGGCCTGTTGCAACGGGACTCGCGGGACACACGGGACATACGGGACACGGAGAGCTGCGTAAAATCTGCCTCGAAGAGTCTCCAACCGCCCAACCAACGAGCACCGACGATGTCGCATTTGGGCCGAGCATCCAGCATCTGATGAACAGTCGCCGCCCCCGGCCACGCCGACAGAGAATCGACCAGGGAGGCTCTGCCATTCCATTCGTCGATGGAGTGGCATTCGATCTGGGTGGGTGCACGTCTGCGAGTGAAAGGGCGTTAGGAAACGTCGCGCGAAAAGTACCTGGACGCGGTTGTTCTTGGTGAGGAATCCGGTGATACACGGATTTCACGATAAACCCTTCATCCGAGGGTCGATTCATCCTCCAACGACGTTTTTCACGGCAGCGTATCTTCGCTTCGGCAAAGGACGACGACAGGTCCTTTCAGAGTTGCTTCTCTTACATTTATTCGTCGGACAAATCGTAGTATCCGCGGAGGTTCGTTTTGCTCGCAATACTCGTTGTCCTCGATCGTGCTTAATTTATTAACGTTTCGTTTCGTTCGTGAGACTGCGAACGCGTTGGAAGGAGGGGGGGGGGCGATCGCGTAAAGATACATCAATCGGTTAACAGATCGATCGAGTACACGCGATCCTTTCCGCGTTACTTACTATCGATTCTCGGTAAACATGTATGTATGTATAGGCACGCGTACGTATGCGTGGAGACTAGGCTAATTTAGATTACTGACGGAAATCGTCTGGCAAGGGGACCGCGCGCGACCATTCGACATTTACCGCGTACCGCGACACTAATTTATCGATCATTTTTCAGCCCACTGACGAGAGAATCACTTCTCGAGTTGGCTAGATGTATGCGGCAGAGCCGACCGGATGTTATTTCGCAATTCTTGCGAATCGCGAACAGAACTCCGGATTGTCCGTTTATTTATTCGATCGGGAAGCAGCTTGTTCGATAACTTTGTTGAAAAAGAAACGAGCGGAGCACCGGAGCTCTGGTCGCGAGCAGAGTCACACGCTTCACACCATCACCCGAAGACTCGGATCGAACGTTTCAGGATGGGCGGTAACGCCTTCTCCTCGCGAGGGAGTTGGAACGCACGAGTTGAGTTCATATTCACGGAACGATGTTTCTCTTCGAGCAATGCACGGCCAGTTACGTTGCTTTCCGACTCGGAGGGTGCAAGAACGACAAAAGCGAATAGAAACGGTCGATGTCTTGGCAAGAACGACATCCATCGTTTCTCGGACCCGCGTTATCGCGAGAGACAATTGATTATATAGTAGGACAATTCTGCGAATCGACATTTCACTATTTCATCGATGGATTTTCAGTTAAATTACTTGGACAAATTGCAAACAAACATCATTTATATTGTCTCTGAATAATCGAGTGCTCTTCCAAGGTAAATGTCCTCGCGATAACCGCGTCTACATCGTCTTTTCCTCCCCACCCACTCCCGTCGATCATTGCGTTCCTCGTTGACTGACGCGTTCGAGGAACACACCGCGTAGATTCTTCTTTTATAATTAATAGACGCCTATCTTGTACGCACCGTGGGAAATCTGTGATATGATAATACACATTCTATTTTTTTTTGTTTGTTTTGTAACTCGCTCCTCCGCGCACGAGATTTCGCTTCTAGCACACGTTGGTTTTTTCACGGGGTCACGCACCGGCTCACGGTGGAGTGAGAGATCACACACGCACACACGTACATATTTTCGTAGGTACAGCGACTCGCGGATTTGTTTAAACGTTGTTGAGGATAAATTTGTGAGCCACTTTCCGTACGATCACACGCAATCCAACAAATTCCGAATTCTCGACCGACCGAATTTCCGGGTTTACCGTGAAAATTGGCGGTCGGGGGTACACTCGCAAGGCAGATGCAAAACAGAAACACGGACAAAGACATAGGAGGCAGAGACACAGACACAATGGGGTTTCGTGCAATTCTACGGTGATAGGACATTAATTTTAATTGGGTCGACGTGTGGGGAATCGGTTCGCGACGCGATCCAGTCGCCGGATACGAGGAAAATGGAGAAAAAATCGAACGAGACCGATTCTCGTCGGGCGAGCGAAGGATCGCGACCCCATAAGCGAACAAATAAGCAAAAATCGTGTATGTATAGATAACAATAGCGGCGACACGACGCTGGCAAACTGAATTACCGTCCACGAAAGCGGCTAATCGCGTACATACTTTTAAAAGCGTGAAACGATCAAGAATAAAGCTGTATCGCGTTCGCAGCAACGACTCATGGATTCGAACGAATCGCCGTTATCAACGCTTCGACTATTGACACGTGCAGCTATATTCGAATCTCTCTTCGCGTATGAATGGTTTAAACACGTGGGCTGTTAGAAAATTCAAATTTAGTGGAGACGTTCGTAAAAGAAAATTCGATTTACAAAACAATTCTTGGCGCTATCGGCGATCGTCGGTAGCTCGAGTATCAACGGCTCCACTCTGCAAATGTATATTTGAAACCGCGAGCGGCTGTATCTCGCGCTAAGCTCTCGCGGTTCTTGTAAATAGTAGTTCTGTTTGTAGTTAGACGTAGATCAATTAGGATAGGCTGAATCGACATCTTGTCGCGAGCTTCCGACACACGGAGCCGAGATAGAGCGCGAGAAATTTGTACATAGAATTGTAACGTTAGTCGGATTGCGCGAGATGAAACACAGTCTTAATTTACTATTCGTAATCGATATCTTCGTATTCTTATTCTCCGGTTCCTTTTATTCCCGCGCCAATGATGTGCGCCGAACTTTTGTACAGCGATTGCATAAAAAAAAATAGAACGCTCCGTTGGCAATACTCAAGAACAGTGGTACTATTCGTCGCAATCTGTTTAACGTCGATATTATTTTATAGCTAATACTATTATATTATTTTATTATATTATACTATATGATATTATATATATATATATTATAAATATTATATGTATTATTGTCGCGATTTTTATCGTAATCTTATTTAATTTACGTCCAGTATTGTCTGAAACAGTAGCACCTAGATGTTTTTATTATCATGAAGTAATAGAGAATCCCGCATTTATACATGCTATCGTTCCACAATCATTATTCACCCAGACAAAAAGATTTATCTATCCGTGAACTCTATCATCCGCTGGTACTACTGCAATTATTAATATTATATATATATATATAATATTTATATATTATATATATATATATATAATTATCGATATCGATATCGCTGCTCCATTAATGATTTTGTTTATTGATTAATATATATATATATACATATATGTATTGTACACATAGAAGAGATATGTATATCGTCGTTAATTCCTCGTCAACAGAAACGACCTCCCTTTCCGTCTGTTGCGTGGAAGATGGAGACGGCATCGTGCGTTTCAGTTGAATCGAGTACGACTGTCGCGAGAGTGCCTTTCGCTCGTGCGTATGTTTATTTTTATCTACGTGCATGTGTATACCTGAAAGTGCAACAGAGATGCACAATCGTCTAACACTACGTTTGAATATACTGTGTATATCGTATGTGTTGATTCGGGGAAAAAAAACCTGAAAATTTCGAGTTAAACCATCGTCCTGAGGTCGATCCATTTCTTAACGCGATCATCATGAATCCAATGCTGAACCGCGTGACGAAACGCGGATACGCACCGTCTGTATATGTAGAAGTGGAAAAAGACAATAAATAAAATTAAATATTACACGCATCCGCGCGATCTTGTTCGTTCCAAATTCACTCGAAATATTTCAACTTCTCGCGTTCATTGGGGCAGGATTGGAAAATAGAATCTCAAAGGCTCTGCATAAATACGTTATATTTCCGTGTATCGAATCTCGTGCTTGATAATTGATCGCGAAGTACCGACTTCGCTACCACCGAACAGATTGCATTAATATAATGCAGTCTACGGTGTCACCGGATCCTTAGACGCGAGAGTCTGTAAACGGCGAACCGCAAACCGGGTTTTCTCGACGATCGGCTTCCAACTAGGGCGGAAACGTCGACGGATCCGATCCATCCGTTCGAATCGGCCGGCAAAACGGAAAACGGCGTCGATCGGCGCGCTCGCTCAGCTGCAATTGCAAAATGATAAGAGACAGACAGAGTGTGCTACACACTGCTACGGGTTAAACTACTACTCCAGGATGCGTTTTATCTGCAACAGAGAATGACGCCTTTTTGATGATGCTGATTCCCACGGGACTAAGGCGGGGCACGTGCGAGTTATAGAGGGTGGGGCAACGATCGCAGGGGGATGACTCCTCCGCGACGCCCCAGCTTTTTTCGCTTTCGATCTTTTATTTCGGTTCGTTTATCGGTGATCGTTGATTCGGCTCGCAGCGCCGATGTCGGGCCCACGATTCGAGCGCCTCGTCAACGATATCGCACGTTGTTTGTTTTAATTACTCACTGATCATCACAGAGCTGAACGACATGTATCTGGGTTGAACCGGCGGCGGCGCCGCCTTCGTCGGTGCATCCTTCCGGCCACGCGGCGGCTTCTCGTCGTTAGCGGTAAGAATTTTCACCTGAGAAACGGAGAACCGCGTTTCCAGACACTCTAGAAAAATGGTTTCGGAATCGTCGGTAACCGAAAAGAATCACCTGTTCGTCGATCGCGTTGAACTGCCACTTCCACGCGTGGTTGTAGAGGAACGGTCGGTGATCGAATCTGTTGTCGTCGGGACTATAGGTCTCGGCGTGGCAGGACGGCGTCAGGATGGTCATCTTGTGCCGATTGATGGCGTAACACCTGTAGAAGTGTTTCACCTTGTCCGCAACCTGCAACGAACGCCCGCGTATATCAACCACCGGGTGAACCGTAGAATTCGATACGCGAAGTTGCGATCGTACTTCTTCCGGAGAACACTTGTCCCACATGTGGACCAGCCTGCAGAACATGGAGAAGGGCCCGGCACAGTCCTGCTTTCTCAGGCGACCGAAGGTGCCGAGCTCGTGGTAGGTCATGCCCATGTCCACTTCGTCGAGCTGAGCGAGTTGTCCGCCTTGGAGCGGCTCGAGTTCCGCGGTCGGCAGAGCGTTCAGGATCCCGTCCAGCGCCGATATCGAGTATTTTCTCCTGGAACGGACACGGTTCGATCGTTTTCTTATCGTTACCGTATCGGAACGCGGCGCCGTCTTACCTGAAATAACCGAGGAACGATTTAAGGTCGTTCTTCGCGATTCCGCCGATCGGATTCACGTCCGCGCTGCTGCAGTCGTATTTGGTGAAGTATCCCCGAAGAGCTTCGTCGACGTTGCTGCTGCCGAGCACGAGCAGACCGCCGGGACGACCTCTCACCCACAGCATCAGCTGAGCGAACAGGTAGGCTATCACCATTCTCAACCGCGCCTTCGGAAACAATTGCGAACGATGAAAAAAAGAAACGATATCGCCCGAGCTGGGGATATCGTCTGGCTATTTATCTAACGAATATCGAACTTGTATGTTCTGCAGCGCCAGATTCTCCCTCGGAGATCCTCCCTGAACCTTGAACCTCGGCACCAGCTTGGTCACTTGTTGGAAAATGGTCAGGATAGCCGTGACTGCCACGTCGATCGCTATGCTGTGATGGTACGAGCCGATCTGACTGGCCAACTCCGCCGCTCGTGCCTTGGTCTCCGCCGACGAGTTCTCGGTGCCCATGTAACAGGTCACGAGGATCGTGTTGCAGAGCTGCTTGGGATCCGTCGGCACGTACTCGCAGTCGCCGACGATCTTCCGGATCTCCGAGAGCACCTGGGCATCTTTTCAAAAGTATCCCCGGTGAGAATAAAAAACGTGAATCGCGCGATATCTCGGCATCCCTCGCGACATATACCTCCTCTGTTCACGGAATCGACGATCATGTCGCACATCGAGTAAACCATACACGCCGAGGAAGCAGAATCGACCCCGCCGCTCAACGGCAAGAAGAATCCGCCCTGGCAGGAACGCCTGTCGTCGAACGAGAATTATCCGAGTGACGAATTTTCGAGACTCTCTCGCGAAGGAAAGAAGAAAAGTCGAGGAACCTGAGGTAGTCCCAGAGCCAGCAAGCAGGCGCCATAGATATCTCCTCTTCCGGCGTGTGATGGACAAGCTTCTCCGTCGGGCGATCGTTCTCGTAAGGGCCCAGGTCGACGTCGATCGGTCGATCCGGCGACCTCGACATCAGATTGTCCGAGGTCAGAGCGAAGTTCGCCTTGATGCGCGGGTAGCTCGGCGATTTCGCGGCAGCGTGGGTACGGGACCTGATGTTGTTTCTGTAACTCCTTGCAACACCGGCGGTCGCGTTTTCAGTGGCTCGCTCGGCCAAAAGGAAGTTACGGTAGCGCCTCGACAGCCGTCGAAGCGTTACCGTACGGTAGCTTTGCGAAACCTTATGTCCTCCAGGTCGAACGTGGCGACCACGACCTCCACGTCGTCCAGGGCGAACTGCTTGCCGCGTTTCAGTATCTGTCCGTTCAAGGAGACGGAGGATCCTCCGTTGAAGTAGAGCCTGCCGCCGTCGCAGCCGCGCAGATTGCTGAACATGTAACAGCCGCCCGACTTGAACGTGGCCGACTTGACCAAGTCCACGGTCACGTGTCCCTTGCGAAGTTCGAAATACGAGCCGCTACCTTCGAACGAGAACGAATCGCGTGAATTCTATGTAGATCGCGTCCGTCGTTGTTGCGAAACCGACGACGCGTATACCGTTCGAAATGATCTCGACGCCGTCCAAGCCCATGGGGATGTGGTTGCTCATAGGGTTCCAGAGCTCCTCGCAGATCTCGAAGCCCACGCAGGTGTCCTTCGTGGAGATCACGGCGTCGCCGAACGGCACCGTCCATTGCCTGGTCACCTGAGAGATGATTCGCGGCAGATAGTACAGCTCCACGGTTCGCTCCTGCGAAGAAAACGAGAGGCGAGATTTCTGGTTGAGAAGCACCCTACGCGCGCGAACGTGTTACAATATATCGGAACGCGGGCGGAGACCTTGGTCCAAGCGGAGAACCACCTAGATTCCCTGTAATTCCCGTCCTCGCACATCCGCATCTTCGGTCTGATCAGCAGGATGCGCTGGTTCAGGAAGACCACCCTGCAATTGTAGGTGACGTTCTTGTGCATCACCGGCATGCCGACGTCCACCAGGATGTTCTCCGCGACGGGCGACTTGACGATCGTCGCGAGCGCTTCCCAGCTGTGCAGCAGAGTGTCCGGCTCGTAGAAATGGTCCTCGCAACTGTAACCGCTGCCGAACCAGAGGTCTCGTCGGTCAAGCCCGTCGTTTCTATCGAAGACGATCGCGTATAGCGGACCAAGATCCGTCTATCTACCATATTTCGAGTTCCGGGCCGCTCCTGTAAGTAGCGCCGGCTTCCTTAGCCTCCTGGATGCTCTGCAAGATCCTTCTGGAGTTCCCGCTGAAGTCCATCGCCCACTGGTTCAGCGTGCAGGCCGCCACCGTCACCGTCCGGCCCATGGTTCGAGCTTCTCGTCGATCCTCTTCGAGAACTTTGAAGCCCGCGCGCGCGTCCCCTGAACACAAGCATGCGACGAACGCGTCGAGTTTTACGAACCGGAGAAAACGTCTTCGAGTCGCGATCGAAATTCCACGCGGAACGGAGAACCGTCTCGGCCGACTCGCTGATCGATCCCGGGCTTTCAATATCACGGACACATTGATCGACGAACGTAATGACGGTGGAACAGACACCGTTCGCCGGTCCGCTTCGACGAACGTTGATTGATCAATAATTTTCAGAGCCGGGCGAACGAGAGCGAGAAGGACGGACGAAACGGAAATCGCTCGACCGGGTTCGTGCAACCACGCGAAGGAAGGCATGCCTGCGAATCCGCGAACGAAATTCCTAGCGAATTCCTTCGGATTAACGCGATTCTCGCGACAAGCTTTCCGTCGCGGGCCGACTCGAATTCTTTTCGAGTCGCAGCCGTAGGCCTTGGAACAGATTTTCTTGTAGAATCGAGAGGCTGAAATCTTAATCTAAACCCGGCTGCATAAACATCGTCGACCATAATATCGTAATATCGTAATCTCTGCCTCTCGGGCCGAGTTACCCTCTCCGCTCCGTGGACGACGCGTGCCTCGTTTAAAAAAGCAACGCCGAAACAACGAAGGCGATCCCCCTTCGCGAGAACTTAATTCCCATTTTTTGCGATCGATTTGCGAAGGGTTACAGGGGGGGGGGAGAGCGTGAAGGGTGAAGCGGGGAGCGAGAGATCGATAAACGAACGCGTCGCGATACCTTAGCTGCGTGCAGAAAGGGACCGGGGGTAAGAGGACGACGAGTCACGGAAAACGAGGGGGCAACAAACAGCCGCGGAGTCGACTGGCTCCGCCCACGCGTCGGCTTCTCCCCGTCGTCGTCGTGGTCGCCGTCGCCGTCGCCGCCGTCTTCGTCGAGTAATCGACGGGTCGGCCTCGGGATCGGGATCGGGAAACGTCTTTGTTCGCTGCTCGCAGTCGCGGGTCGTGGCAGCGTTCGCCGGTGGATCCGTCGAGCCCGAGGGACCGGACGAATCGAAGGGACCGACGCGGGCCCCCGATCGCGGTGATGCGCTGCTGAGCTCGAGGATCGAGACCTCGTAGCATCGTCGACGCGCGAGGATGAGAAGCGCGACAGCGAGCTGCGTTCTCGACGGTGGAATCCTCGAGGACGCGGTCGCCGATGGGACGAGCCGAGACGAGAGTCTCGACGACGACTCGGCGAAGAGGGAAGAAGCTGCAGCGAAGGCGAGCAACGACGGAGAGAAGATCAGGCGGGAGGAGACGGAAGTCGAAGAGGACGACAGATAACGAAAGATGACGGAGCTCGTGGCAGCCAGCAGGGTCAAGGAACTTCAGACCATCCTGTTCCCGGTTCAACCGATCCCCGGTGAGATCGCTTGAAGTCTCTTCCCTCTTCCCGACTCGTGGTAGAATCGTTGGCAATCGTTTCGTCGCAGGCGGCGCCCTGGCGAACTTTCAGCGGCTGCAGGAGCTGCGACTGCTGCAGCTGGGACGGTACGAGGTGCAGCGTCGGGAAACGGAGTTTCTGCGTATCTCGGCGCCGTTCGGCCTCAGGGACGATCAGCCGTCGAAGGAGAGCCTTCGAACCGCGCTGGACATCCGATGCGCGATCGACGGAATCACGCAGGAGGCTGCGAGGTGGCCCACCGAGTGCCAGGTAAAGGGTGACGACCGACGGGCGGCTCTCGGGACTCGACGATTCAAAGTTTCCGGGGAAACAGGTGCTGCCGGAAAGAGTGCGACACGTGGAACAGGCCCCGAGCATCCCGGAACCGTTCTACGCGCCGACCGGGAAGGAGCCGCGGCCGAAACCGCTCTCGGACGAGTTCGGAACGGTGGTCTTTCGCTACTATCCGACCGGTATCGCGAACTACGTGAGTCCGACGCCTATTCTAGCGAATTCTCCGCGAGCCCGACGATGTCTACGAACCGTCGCGATAACAGTTCAGCAGGTCCTGCGTGGGTGGTAGCACGGTTCTACCGTTCGCCGCGGAGTTTCCGGCCGATTCGATCGGTTTGCCGAACGATCGGCGGGTCGTCGACACCGACGGCAACCTTTTCCTCGTGAGCCGAAGTGCCGAGGTCGCGGAGAACAGCTCCGACCTTCGGTTCGAGTCGCGTTTCGAGTCCGGGAACCTGTGCAAGGTCGTCAAGATCACCGACACCTACTACCAGCTCTACCTCAGGAAGGATCTCTACACGCAGAGGCACACGCAGTGGTACTACTTCAGGATATCGAACACGAGGAGCAGAACCACGTACAGGTCGGGCTATCGGTTACATCCCGTTTTCGAAAGGTGGCGAGAGCGCGACGACCGTCAGCACTTTAACGATTCCAGATTGTCGATCGTGAACCTGAGCAAAGAGGAGAGCCTGTACAACGAGGGTCTGCGGCCGCTGCTCTACTCGACCGAGGACGCCAAGAAGAGAGCCGTAGGCTGGAGGAGATGCGGCGACAATATCGCTTATTACAGGAACGACTCGTCGTACGTTGGCTGGCTTGCAACTTTATCGTACCCATGATTCTCTATCGGCGACCGGGTTTATTGTACCTCGAATCGATTTCCAGAAGCGACGAGGAAAAGGAAAGGGAAAAGCACACGCTGTCGTTCAACGTTTCCTTCCCTCACGACAGGGACATCGTTTACCTGGCTCATTGTTATCCGTACACGTACTCCGATTTACAGGTGATCGCGTTAGCGGTACGTTTCTCGAACGGTAAGAACGTTTCTTATACACCCGGCGCGAATGTTTCAGGAGTATTTGGCCAAGTTGGTCGCCGATCCTGTGAAAACCAGATTCACGAAATTACGGCTACTGTGTCGGACCCTGGCCGGGAACGGGGTCTATTATTTAACGATTACCGCACCCAATTACGACGAGGAGGTGCGGAGAAAGCGCGGCATCGTGATAACGGCGAGAGTGCATCCCGGCGAGACGCCATCCAGTTGGATGATGAAGGGGATCATCGACTTTTTGACCGGAGAGTCGAACCAAGCCAAGGTAACACACTCGCGGAATGCTAGCGGGGCGTGTTTTTCTCGTTCTTCGGTTTCGAACGATTCGAATTTACCGCCACCGATGGGCCGATGGCGCCTCTCGCGGAGACGATCCGAAGCTCCTTTCGGCGTTCGTTCAGCGCCAATTAGGCCGGTGGCGAAACGCTCAAACTGTTTGCCAAAATCGACCGTCGGTAATTTTCGTTAGTAGTTTCAACGTTTTGCCACCGGACTAATTGGCGCTGTACGGACCTCGGGAAAACTTCTCGATCTTGCCGCGGGAGGCGCTACGAGTCGGAGACGGTAAAATTTGAATCGTTTCGAGCCGATGGGATGGGAAAAGCGGTTTCCAGCGTTTTGCGGAAACTGGAAGCTGAAAACCGAAAGGACGCGATTCTCGAATGGTTTCGACAGGCGCTTCGCGAGAGATTCGTGTTCAAGTTGGTCCCTATGTTGAATCCGGACGGCGTGATCGTCGGCAACAATCGATGCTCCTTGTCCGGCAAGGATTTGAACAGACAGTACAGAACCGTGATGAGAGAGAGCTACCCTTCGGTCTGGCACACGAAGCTGATGATACGCCGCTTGTTGGAGGAGTGCGGAGTGGCTATATATTGCGATCTACACGGCCACTCGAGGAAACACAACGTGTTCGCTTACGGATGCGAGGGCAAGAGATCCGGTCCGCAGACCAGACTTTCCGAGCAGGTGTTCCCGTTGATGCTTCACAAGAACGCTGCCGACAAGGTGAACCATTTCTCGATTACTCGACGATATCTGACAACACCTGTACGATACCTAATCGATTTTCAGTTTTCGTTCGAAAATTGCAAGTTCCACATGGAGAAGGGAAAGGAGGGGACGGGAAGAGTGGTGGTCTGGTCGATGGGGGTGCAGAACAGTTACACGATGGAGGCGTCCATGGGAGGATCGGTGATCGGATCCAGATCCGGCACCCACTTCTCCACTCAGGACTACGAGCAAATAGGAAAAGTTTTCTGTGAAACGCTGCTCGACTTCTTCGACCAAGACCCCGTCAAGGTAGCTGTCTACAGTAATGTCTTCCTATCTACACAGTAATGTCACAGAAATGGACAATTTGGGAAGAGGGGATACGATTATTCGAGCCTTGCACCTCGTTTTTATACGTTTTTATCCTCTTCCCAAATTGTCCATTTTCGTGGACAATCCGAGCGTCGATTAGAGAGACGTTACCAAATCTTGCGCCACGATCTTTCGGTCGTTTAATCGTTCTGCGATAAACCCGTAGGAGAGGCTCCGGAACAAAATCATCGGCAGATTGGTGAAAGAGGGATCGAGCGCCGAAGAACCTACCAACATCGATCTAACCGACTACTCGAGGTATCGATACCCGGGGGGTTTCATCGATTCGATCGCGTGAAATCATACTTCGATCCGATTTTTCAGCGACGAGGGCGACGTTTCGATCGGTTCGGACCAGGACAAAGAAGAACTCGACTCGACGGAAGGCTCGTGGGACTGGGAGGAGGATTCCGTTGGTAACACCCGGTACCTTTGCGCTCCGCCGCCTACCCCCACGTTCGTTGCGTCCCGCAGCTTCGAATCGACCAAACGAAGAAGCAAAAAGGAGACGGCGACGAGCAGACGCTACTTCCAACGCAACAAGAGGCTATTGGTAACGGCTCGGGGATAGTTTCGCCGAGCATAGCCGACGTAAAAGCCTCGTAGTCTCCCTTCATAAACCAATTACGATTTGCAGACCAAAAGAGCGGTGATGGATCTGCCCACTACGGATCCAGGCAGCGACCTGTGCGACCCGTCGGACTCCGCGGACGAAGGTCCGCCTTTCCGTTCTTCTCTTGATTTACATTCGCAAACGATGATCGCATTGGTGTTGTAATCGTTGCGCAGGCACTTCGACGAGGCCCGCGTGTCTGTCCGGTCACGCGGCGGCCAGAGATACGGATTCGAGCGCGAAGAAGACGACCCGCGACGATCTTGTCCTGCCGGAAATAGCGAGGCCCTGTAGCGTGTCCTTGGACGAGAGATTCGTCGCGAAGCAGGAGAAACAGGACAAACGGAAAGCGAAGAGGAGATCGCCTTGCCTGCACTTGGTGAGGTAAATTTCGAGAACGTCGATGCGTCGGTGGCGCGATAATTTGATTCGCTGACGATCGACGCAGAGCACCGAGACATCGATCGCCCGTCCCGTTGCGGAATCAGGACATACAGATCAAGCTGAGTTCGCTGAGGCAACAAATATGGATGGGAGTCCCGCCCAGTGAAGACCAGGCCACCGGGAAGAGACCGAACCGTTCGTTCGTCGCAGGGCCGCTTAGCTGGGGAGTCTCCAGCATGGCGTTAACGCGGAGTAGAATGGACAGCGACGCGTTGCTCAAGTGCGTTTGGCCGAACGCCGTTCGTTGTTCGCGAGAATTTGTCACCTTATATATTTCTCTGCTTTCAGGTCGTGCACCAAGAGATTAGAGTCTCTAGGCTACATGGACGACAATGGCAACGAGCGGAGGCGCAAACACGAGAAGACCGCGCGTCCGAGGGAGGTCGTCCCGGAAGAGGAAGAACAACGGCGCGCCGTCGAGCGGAAGCCGAGGAAGAAGAAGTCGCGGCTCAAGTGGCAGAAGATAGTCAATTTAAGCTCGAGACTGAAGGAAACGTGTTACGGCAAAACGTCGTTCCTGACGATCGACGCGGACTCGTTGAATCTGGTCACGGTCGAGATGCCGTCGAAACCGCAAGCCAGACAGCACAGAGTCGAGTCGAGGAGGATGCATCGGAAGAATGCTTGCGCCACCCTCTCGAACGCGACAACGACGCCTACGATCGCGAAACCGAAGCCATCGAAGCCGTCGAAACCGTCGAAGCCACAGACGTCGCAGTCGCGTCCGCGAATGCAGTTGCAACCGTTGATCGTTCCTCTGTGCGACAGTCTGTCGTCCGACAATGAGTCCATGGACTCTCGTAGACAGAAGGCCTCGAAGAAGAAGCAGAAGAAGAAGAAACCGGCCACGAAAAAGGTCAAGACTACGCTCGTGGCCGGAACTGGCAGGAAGAAATACGCCGGAAGCGCGACCTCTAAAATATTCGTTGGAGGAGGTTCATCCTGAAATCTATGTAACAGTATCCTGCCTAACTCGAACACTTTGCATATTTCACTTATCGTCGACCATGGGAAAGATCTCGGTCTAACGGAAGACCGATGCGGCGTCTTATAAGATCGCTATCTTTCTACAAGAAATTTTACTGAAAGTATTACTTTGATAAGGTTGCGAGCACGACGAAGTATGTATTTGTACGCGTTTGTTCGAACTTTTCTACATTTCTAAACGCAACTTACGCACGTGTACGCGCAGGAAATCGACTCTCGAGAAACGTCCGAGTTTCACCTCTTAGCAAATACCGTGTGGTAAGACCGGAAAACGGTACGATCGACGACACTCCTCCGCGACCACTATCTTTATCCGTCGCTGTGTTATATATAATTTGCAGCAGTTAAAAGCAAATAAGAATTAAAGCGGTCATTATGTAACGGAGTTCTGCGAGATAACGAGGGACAGCGACGAGACGTTCGGCGCATACGAACACAGACACACATACTTACTCGCTTACCGTTCCCCGTTCGGTCAGATCCGGAACAAAGTCGAAGGAGGACAGAAGCAGCGAGATGGACGAAGGAAGGAACACAATGAGGAAACGTTCGCGTCCGTTTTTAGACGACCGTATTAGTGGCGCGTTCTTCGAATGACATGCGCGTAAATCGTGTCCACCACGTGCTCGTCACACACGATCGACGAATCTTGATTCCGACTCCAACATAACCTCATAAACCGATTGCAAATTCTTTTTGAACGTGTCGCACTGGTCCCGCAGCAGACTTTATCGGAACAAGCATGCGCGAGTCTTGAGAAATGGACAGCTGTTTCGCGAAAACACTGTCACCAGAGAATCGATCGAACGTATCGCACTTCCGAACTGTTCGAAGGTTCTTCGATTGTCACTCTGATTCTCGACGCAAACACCGTACAACTCTCAATTCGATGTTTCACCTAGCGCAAGCACAGCCAAATATAGCTGTTTATTTCCCTCAGAAATTTTGAATTACAACGGAAAAATTGAATCACGCGTCACGAATCGTTATCGAGACGACAGCTACTGCCTGTTGCCTGTTGCAACTTGCGACATTATCTAAACAGACATTTATTTATATATTATATCGACGCGGATGGCGCCACGAGTTCGCGGTGAGAAGTTTCAGTGCTCTACCACTGATAGCGCCACTAGTTCTCGGCGAGAGGTTCCAACGCTCTGCCACAGATGCCGCCACCAGTTCTCGGCGAGAGATTCCAACGCTCTGCCACAGATGCCGCCACCAGTTCTCGGCGAGAGATTCCAACGCTCTGCCACAGATGCCGCAACGAGTTCGCGGTGAGAAGTTTCAGTGCTCTACCACTGATAGCGCCACTAGTTCTCGGCGAGAGGTTCCAGCGCTCTGCCACAGATGCCGCCACTAGTTCTCGGCGAGAGGTTCCAGCGCTCTGCTACAAATGACGCCACCAGTCCTCGGCGAGCAGTTTCAACGCTCTGCAACAGATGAAGCCACCAGTCCTCGGTGAGCAGTTTCTAGCGCTCTGCCACGGATAGCATCATAAGTTTTCGGTGAGAAGTTCCACCGTCTTGCCATAGATGGCGCCACCAGCTCATCATCCTCCAGTCAGAGCCTTCTGCTTCTTATTTGCCTTGTTCTCCTATTCGCTTCCGGTCTACTATAATTTCTCGACATGAACTGCGTGCGTGCGTGTGTGTGCGTGTGCGTGTGCGCTTGTGTGCATTTTATCGTTAGCTAAGTAAGTCCTCGTTGTAAGAAAGGGAGTCACACCGAATACCAGCTTCGCTGCTCTGACTCCCTTTCGTTATTATAAAATGATTGTAAAATAGATTAAGAACTGTAATATGTTTAAATAAAAGTACTATAAAACATAATCAAACTGCCTCTTCATTTATTTATTCATTAATCCCTTTCATGTCACCCACTCACACACCCATTCTCATAGTTTTATCTGACTTTCCATTGACTTAAACTACTTGCTAATTGTATCAGGAGAACATGATACTCCTCGAAGAGGTATCTCGAAATTCTTTGTCCGGCTTGTGATTGACTCGTACTACTGAAATTTCGACAAAACGAAATACCTCCTCCTACGTCACGTGCTCCTGATAGAAATTTTCGAAATTTTCCGGAAAATTTCTGAAAATTTTCGGGAAAAGTAGTACGAGTCAACGTCAGGCCAGACATTCGAAAGAATACCTCCTCGCACATCATGTGCTCCTAATACAAAATCCGAAATTTTTCGGAAAATTTCCGAAATTCTATGTCTGGCCTGACGTTGACTTGTACTGCTTTTTCCGAAATTTGTATCAGGAGCATATAATATGCGAGGAGGTATTCTTTGGAATGTCTGGCCTGACGTTGACTCGTACTACTTTTT